ATACACCAAGATTAATACATAGTGAAACTCAAAACCAGAGCTGAACTCTTAAATTTATACACCAAGATTAATACATAGTGAAACTCAAAACCAGAATAAGTTAACATGCCTTCAATTCATTGAATTGGACGAACAAATTAATGTTTTATAGGAAGGTAAAAATGTCAAATAACAGTCATCGAGACCTTATTAAGCCAACATCGAGACCATTGTGTGGGTATTTAATGCGTGCTTAGATCGGATGTTGGTTTTTAGACGTGTCAATTTAAAATCTCATCAAATATTCTAATAGGACATTTTAAAAGAACAATTTTATAGTAATGCCATTTATTATAATTTGAATATTTATGAAAGATGATTATGGTTCATTAATTATCATCAATACTTTATATTAGAAAACAATTAAAACTTTTATGAATCACATATTCATCAAATTAAATGAATGGTTAAGATTGAGTTGTATTGATTGTTCAATTTTCCTATAAAATTAAGACAACTGGTTGGCTATATATAGGATGAAGTAAATAAATTACTATACCCATGATAAAAGGTCCAGTTGATTTTGGATCCGATGATACCCCATTCAATTCACTTTCTTGCAATTGTTGACGATCATCATAGGGATAGAAACAACATTCCTTTGTCAAAATCAACGGATCATCCCTCCGGGTATCACCGACATAGCCTCTATTCCATATTTCTGCTGTTTCGACTTCTTGACATAAAAATTAACAGTTAAAACCCATGAAAGTTCATATCTTATCAGAAGTAAGAAATGATTAAAAAAAACACGTATTGAGAAGGAATTTACATAATTCTGCAGCATATAATATAAACTGATGTTAGGGACTGTATTTCAAATGAGATATAGGGACCGGATAAAAATCACGAATTGTGTCGGAAAGCATTTTTCAAATATAATAATTCAACCTCTTAGCCTTGAGTTGACGAATTTCGTATTGGGATAAATGATAATCCTTGAGATTATTCTCTCTTTCATAGGCTGTGAAATCTAGACACTTCTACCCAAATTCATGTTTTACATATTTATACGAGAGATCGATCGTTATTGGCGGTTAACGGTTATAACTGTTAATGTATAAGGTCAAAGCATAGTTTGGAGGGAAATGGCATATGTACATAGTTACAATCGAATCGAAGTGTGTTCTTGAGAGGGAAGATGAAACGAAAGAGGAAAAAACGTATGAAAATGAATCTAATCTTTTGTTTGGAGGGAAATGACACATACATATATATATATATATATATATATATGGCAGTTTTTGGCGGTTAAACCAAAAACCTCCCGTGAACAGGCACGACTGTTCGAAACAATGCCGGTTCAGTTCTTGTCCAGAGCCTCGACGAGGACCCCCTCTGTACCAGAGACTTATCAAAATTTCCAAGTCTGAAAATCCCGTATTGGACACACGGGAAAATGGTTTGATTTTTGTATTGCCATTTCTACATAAGAATATATGTAATCGTTGAACACATGTATCTATTTATAAACATATATTATCTATTTCATAATTAAAAAGTGTAATATTCGGTTTAAAATATATAATTATGAAAAATATTGATTAATTAGTCATTAAATATTTAAATTAACTTTTAATAATGTAAAAATAAATACATCATAGACCCAATTCATTTAGCTTGTTTAATTAATCACATTTACATTAAGTTTATTCTTGATAAATGCACGCACAAGCATCAACTTCAAAGGAAGACAAGAGGAAAGCGTAGATTATCTATATTATATTATAAAGTATTTGACAAAAACTCTTAAAAATCATTTTTTTTATGCGTAACGTACTGTTTATAAATGCATATTACTTAAAACTTAAGATTGCAAGTAAATTGTGCGTAAGAACAACTTATTAAAATTCCATATATGAATTCGTGTAACTAACTGCAGATAAATATAATCAAATACAAGATAAACATTTCATTTTAAATATAAGAAATCTAAAATATAATTAGAATAATCATTGCATTGTAACAAATATTTAATTATTATCTTTATAAAATTTATAATATTAAACCAAAGGTAAATTATTTCATTATTAAACTTAAATTAAATTATAATAAAAAATGAGAACTTTTAAATAGTTGATTTGATTAATACATTGATATATATATTTTTTTCAGATTTTTATGATATCTTTAAATTTATATTTTATTCAAAAATAAAATTATTATTGCTTTCTTAAAAACACATAAAATCGTATTATAATATCGACATAGACAATAAAATTGAACATTAAAATCGAGATATGTCTCGTTGCATTGCACGAGAACTCTTATAGTATTCATTAATTTAAGTAATCATTTTTATTGTCATAATTAAAGGTGTACTTAATTAATTGTTGTTGCAGAAATCCACCATCTTTAATTAATATTATGATCATTAATCAGAATTGGTGATTGTTGACATCTTTGGTAACTTTATTAGCGAGATCGATTAATGCATCTGGGTCAGGGATGGCTTCCTTCATCTTCTCATACTCGAAAGACCATGTCACCAAGCTGTTTTCACCCTTCTTATTCACATGGATCGTCACTTTTACGCTTTTGAAAGCCTGCATGATTTTTCCATCAAGCATCCTGAAGGTGATCCATTTGTTCTTTTCATCCGCAGCTTCGATGACATATATATTTGCAGCTTTGTGTTGTTCCATATACATATACATATATATATATATATGTATATGTATATATATATACATAACACGTAAATTAATTAAAAGATCAAACTATCAAGGGAGGTTCTAGTTTTAAGCTCTTAGGTTTAATTTCTGTAGTGTTGTGTGACACTTTTATCAAAATTAATTTGGATAGGTAATAGATAAGATCGCCTTAAATGTTGGAAATCAAGATCAAATTAAAATTAACCCAGACATTACATTTGATAATTCAAGATTACATAACAAATTCATTATTTTTGAAAGCAAACACACACTTCTTGCAATTGTTGACGATAATCATAGGGATCGAACAGTATTGATTGGCATCCTTTGTCAAAATCAACGGATCATTCCTCCTGGGGTCACCGGCACAGCCTCCACTCCGTATTTCTGCTGTTCATCACCTTCTTCACATAAAAATTACCAATCAAAACCCCATGAAAGTTTATATCTTCATTATCAGAAGTAAAATAAATGATCAAAACCATGAGACGGAGTTTACATAATTCTGTTACATGTATCATCCAACATAAACTAAACATACAGAGTTTTAGATATGTGTGTGTGTGTATATATACACACACACACGATAAATGGAAGGAGGGCAAAAGTTACCAGTGGAACCACGGAATTGGAGCTCACGGTACTCCTGACATAAAGCACAGCTTTCGCAGCAGAAATGGGCTAAACAGTCTTTGAAGTGACTACTATCCCCTGTGTATTGTTTCCTCATCTTGGAACGATATATGTACGAGTACATCCATCCAAATCCCGTCATGTATGTCAATAGTGCATGAATCCCAGCACTCGCAACGCAAGCTGCACCATCACAAAACTTCAAAACATCCGTATTGTTTGAAATGCTAAAAGAAACGAGATTGAAACGAAATCCTAGATGTGAAAACTGTCACAACATATCACCATTTCTAGACAAAATTACAGATATACTTACAGGTCTTTCCATGGTCGACGCCCTCTGCAATTCGTCCAAATGTAATGCAAGGACACCAGCATGTTAAGCAACCTATAAGAAAACATGCATGAAAAGGTTCTTCTTTGAATAAATTACCTTATAGCTTTTTGCACTTCCCACTTTTCTTTGAAAAAATAAGAACTTACACAGTTTGGGGTCGGCGCAACAGTCGCACAGACCGGAGGACCAAAGCACAGTGGTGTTGGGTTCAAGTTGGTCATCTGGTGAAGATGGTGGAGATCCCAAAAGCGTCTGGTAGACATTTTTGTTGGGAGAAGACATGGCTGGCTGCGCTACTAATTAATGACTAATCAGAGGAGAATTTGATTAATTTAAAGATAGCTAGCTTGTTGAGTTGAAGGAGACAACCATCTGTATTTATAATCAAAATTTAGAGCCATGGAAGGGTATTAACTTCATATAATTATTAATAAGATTACTTTTTAAACCATTACCTTATAATAATAATAATGATGTGAACAATTTGTCCCATATTAATTTTAGATTATTGAATATGATTAGAGGTTGTTTGTTTTTCTCTTAATAGTTCCATTAAGAGGCAACCTCTGAATCGTTAATAATTGAATCTTGTTTGACAAAAAAAAAAATCTGTCTTTTAATAGTTGTTTGTTTACCTCTTAATGATTTTGTATCATGGATCTTCCTTAACCATTAAGAGCCCTAATTTCAGTGTACACAATTACCAAACAATTATATTTCATTTTGCATTATATCATGAAAGTCACTTTAATCATTCTGATCACTTAATTATTCTGTAGCAAACCATTCAACAATTACCAAACAACCCCTTACACTTTGATTCAACAAGTTATTGGCTACTCCATACTTTTGGGATTTAAAAAGTAGTAAGATTTATGCACTCTCAAAATTTTTAACCATAGGTTTTTACTAAAATGTGTTAAGTTTAATTGAATGTGTCTCTCTCTCATGCATGGTATCCAAACAATTAAATTTGAAAGCGACATTCCTTAATCCTCATAATATTTATGCATCCAGGAAACAAATAAAAGGTAACGATAAAAAATGAAGTGAAAGTTGACTTAATATTCATAGACAATTTTCTATGATTAAAATATTAAAACATAGTCAGCTCTTTACTTTGTAACATCCGCTAAGATAACTGTTTTAATATGTAAAACTGAAAATAATTACAAACTGATTTAAGATATCATTCGCTGTTGCTAAAAACACGATATAGATGTTGGAAGCTAGAGACGAAAGTAGTAGTTGACAATTTCGTTAAATCCTACATGTTACAAAGGATACGATCAATGACACTAAACCACATATCTTTTATTATATATATATATATATATATATAATATATATAATATCGTGTAATCATTTCTATCATTTATTTTCACATCTATAATAAAAATTTATCTATTGGGTCCAATTTGCAGAGAGATCTCACTAAACCATGTTTATTTCATTTTATAAAAAAAAACCATTAAAAAAAACTTTTATGGTATATACAAACAGATTAATTCATACATACAACTTTATTCATACATGACTTAATGAAAAATCAACCAATATCCTCTAAAAATAATTATAAAAGTAAACGAACATGCATATTCTAACAAAACATATCATATAAGTGTCATTGCAACAATACTCAATTCTTAAGTTTCAGATAAGCTTTAATACTTATTATGCAATTGCCCAGTACATTAATAATTTGTAAAAGACACATCCGTTTATAACTTCTACTTTTGCAGTTAAATTTCTTACAATAATTTATTACCAAACTAATAGTTTATTACATAACAATTAAATAGAAACTTTTTATTTTTAAAAAATAATTATTGAAATATTTAATAAAATAAAATATTACATTTTAATTTATAAACTAATTTGTAATTTTAAAAATAATTCTATACATGTATAATTTATTTTTGTTAAAGGTTTCTTTAAAAATATTTTGAAGTCATTATTATTATTATTTATAAGATTAATTACAAATAAACTATAGTCTTTCATATTATTTAATTATATCTATATATGTTTCATTTATTTCGATCACTACTAAACTTGGCCTTTCACCGATGGAAAAGTCCATCATAAAACATGATTTTTGACGGATTTTCTGACCAGAAAAACCGTCTCCGATAAATATAATTTTTGACGAATTCTCCTAACCTTTTTTCCAAATTTTCCAGTTTCACCGACTTAATTAATTTTCTTAATTAAATTATAAAATTAAATTGAAATTTTATTACTTGTTCCAAAATCCAAATCATGTTATTTTTAGTTTTATTGACTTATACTTTTATTCATTTATATGTATACTTCTTATAATTAATATGTGCATTGCAATTTCTGAATTATTTATGCATATAAATATTTCTCTAGTTATATTTTAATAAATCTTAATAATAAAATTATATTATATTTAAGAGTAAATCATATTTTTTTATTAACCTGGATATCCAATCTGCTATGCAAGCCGATTAATCCCAGGACGACCAACTGCTTTACAGATAGCTCGGAGTCACCACATTTGAATCTCCGTGGCAACAAGGGGATTTTTATTCTTTCTTGGATTTGAACCTGAGACCTCCATGTACTTTTAACTTTTGGAGTCAAGCTCAAACCAATCAGACACCACCCTTGTGGTTGTAAATCACATTTTTTGTTCATGTGGTTTTAAAATTAAAAATTGCAAATTAACCCCATAAGGATGAAAACCTCAATATCGAAACAATGGAGACAAAATCCGCAATTTCTAGCAAACCATGGGGACGAAAAATGTAATGTACTCTATATTTAATATATATTGATGTTCAGTGTTTCAAAGTTTCTCAGGCAAGGATGAACCCAAGTGGTGCATGCATGTGGTGTCATGGACCACCGTTTCGTTCCTCTGTTGTAGTGTAAAAACTTATTGGGTTGTGAAAAGGGCTACCAACTCAATTTGTTGTATGTCACCATATATATTTTGAAACTATGAGGACATTTTCCTTGGTAGAGTTGGTATACAAGGCTTATCCGAGTTCGAATCCCGTTAGTATCGTTTTCTTAGTTTTTTAGCTTTTAATTTCATATTTATTATGTTTATGAATTTTTTTACAATAAAAAACTTGAACAAATGATCTCATATATGAAAAACAATGAACTAACAAAAAGACCAACGATAATTCCATGAGAAATATTCCTATATTTGTTTTTACAGTCAAATGGTGCCACAACTTTAAAAGAATTTATAGATCCATCTTTGATCTCAGATAAATTTGGTGTTTCTTTTTGTTTTCTTATATTACTCCAATATTGTTTTAAATTTATATTCCTTTCCCTCATGTATCATCTTTTTATTAAATGTACGATCAATGACCAGATCCAGAAAATAGTTGGTATAAGTAAATATTATGATTATATTCTTTATTAGTTAAACATGTAATGAACCAAAAGTACAAAATATAAAATGCATTTAACTCTACGTCTATATAACAAAACCATTAATATCCGAAAGTATTAACGTGCATATATATTGCACGTTGTTTTACTTGGTCAATCAATGTGTTTTGTGTCGATTTACATTTTCCAATCATGATAGAATTCATACAACAACATACTAAAGACGTAGTTATGAATAACAATGAACCCATAGATTAACTTCGAAAGTATATATATATTTCAATAACCAAAGATGTACAAGAACTTGACATCCTTATAGACTCTTTAGCTTTGAAAACCAAAGATGTACGATGATTGTTGCATAATCGCGTACATACATTTGTATACATACCTGAATCAATTAATTATAATCAACCTATATATTGATTATCGTCAAAACAAGCAAGATTAATTCCTCAACGTCCCAACTTCGATTATTTAGCTCAGTTTCGAGTCATTCCTCCAGGAACCATAGGTGGTTCCATGGGTGCACCAATTTGTTGTACCTCCAGAGTTTGATTATGCCACCCAACTCCTGAACAAGTAAGTAATTAAGATGGTTAACGTATATAATTAATTAAAACACAATTAAGTTAAATAAAAAAACTGTGATAGAGATAAATTGTGGATGTTACCAAGTTGCATATTGAAGCCATGATGTTGAAGCTCGCGATATTCTTGACACAAGGCGCATGGCTCACAAATTAGATGGACAAGAATATTTATGAGAGGGTCGTCAGGCAACCTATATATATGGCTCATCTTTATTCTAAAGTATGCCGACAGTAGGCATCCACAGCCCGTGAAGTACATTATGAGAAAATAAAGGCCCGCATACATGCCAACACCTGTTGATTAAATGATTGTTATCATAAATAGTTGTATTTTAAATTTTTTGATCAAATCCATAATGATAGAATGAACACTTACTGGTACGTCCCCTATCCACCATTTCAGCGATTTGTCCGAAAGTAACGCATGGAGCAAAAAATGTTATGATAACTGTTGAAAAGAATTAAAGACATCAATCAATAGCTAGGTGTATTTGATGAAAAAATTGCAAAAGATATATAATACACGATGTTTGTTATGATAAATAAAATAATGTGTATGTTATAGATAATGATTGTATGATAAAAACTAAAGAATCTCTCTCTCTCTCTCTCTCTCTCTCTCTATATATATATATATACATACATACATACATATATATGGTTGGACTTACAGGTTTGAGGATCATCAAAACATTCAAAAAGGTCAGTGGACCATGCAGGAACCACGACTTGCTGTGGTGGAACCCCAACCACAGCGCCGGGTTGTTGTGGAGTTGCAGAATCCTTTCCGGACTGGTCATTTGCTACTGCTGGAGGAGGATTTGACGGTTGTGCCGTTTGGGGTTGGGTTTGGGCTGGTTCACCGGTTGTAGGTTGAGAGGCCTTCTCCATTATTGAGGTTTGGGAGTGAGGAATTTATTTAAAACTCAATTATCCAAATAAAAGCTAAATTAGCTTTATTGGATAATTGAGTTTTGCCCGAGAATTGATTTGCATTTAGTGCATTAACCGTATCAATTTATATACTTACCATTCGACTCCTCGGATGATTTCATCCAATGCTTTTTTTACGATGTTTTGTGGTAGAACTTCCTTTAGATGCGAAAATTGTTGCATGCCAATCATGTGGGTTTTTTCGTCATAAAAAATAGAGTGGTTTTCAAAACATTTGCAACAAAATAGGATAATGAATAATGAAATTGAGAAACCAGAGAAAAGTTCAAATTTTCAAACAAATAGATACGCTCGTTTTTGTTTTTCAAATATTTTCTAATCACACTCTTTTTTTACTTTTTTATATTACACTATTGTTATATAATATATAAATATTTAATTATTGTAAATATATAATTAAAATTTATTTAATACTGTTAATAAATTGCTTGATTTAAAAACTGGATTTTGAATTTCATTTATTACAGAACAAGACTCATTGTATTTGTTTTGTATTGAGTTGGTCTCCACTCTTACGACCATCCGATAATTCTCTTAAACTTGAGAGCATTTTCATCATTTTTTATAAACCATTTAAATTTAACAAAGCGTACAAACATCATTCAACCAATCATTTTTTATATATATTTTTTTTCGTTTTTTTCCTTAATTACAATGGTTGATAAATCAATAATATATGAAAATTTTCATCAAAAATATATGAGGGTTGATTAATCAAGAATATATGACACAAATTTCATCAAAATGAGAAATATACTCGTTAACCATATATTTGGTGTTAACTATGTGAATCAATCATGTCATTTAATTTATTCAAAACGGACTAAAACATTAATGACATTTTTGAAATAATAGTAATATGAACGCATGTTATGTCATAATGAACAATAGTGAACATGGTAAGATTAGAAAAGATCATGAACTTTTATTATACATCGATTTAGGTTCCCACAAATCTCTCCTTCATTGTCTTGAAACCGAAATCAACCACATTCTACTTTTTTGCTTATGAACGGTTTATTAGTTCACCAATGAACATTTATATGATAAATAACAGAATTCGGTTGTTATAAACATTGTTCACTAATTAATGAATCTTTGACCGATTATTTGTGTATTAATGTCTCCGGTTCACATATGAACGGGGTTTATTAATAAACATCATGTGAATTGGGTTCACTAATGAACATATCATTCAAAATGCTAGAAACGTAGAATTCATCCGAATCAATATGTTGAAGATACTGTGTTCAATTTTGATTGTTTATCATTCAAATTAATTTGAACATAATCATTAAGAATCTTGAAAAGGATGATATAATTATCATCCCTACAAACAAACAATTATTTTTCTGTAACATTATATTTAATACAGTGAAATAACTTACAAATAAAAATTACCTATGTACCCTTAAGCATCAACTCTAATATTTGAAAGTAACCATGACTAAGAATGATTATGATTGGTCCCAACGAGTTCTCAAAGTTATCACTATTTTTTTGGTTAACAAAAGATCTTTCCCTCCTCTCTCTGTACATACATACACAGAGGGAGGTTAATAGGAAAACTTCAAATAAATTAAAAACTACAAAATATCTTATCAAACGTCTGATTAAATGATCTAATAGATGCAACTGAATAAGTGGTTACAACAATATTTTTAAAATAAAAAAAATATGACCCCCTTATTCAAAAAAATAGAAAAATAAATATTCGAGCAAAATAAGTTACACCAAAATACAATCATATTTTTTGCGTTAATTTGACATGGTGTACGTGCATACATTATATATTATAATTTGAAAGAAAAGATATTATATATTAAAAATTAAACTAAATTAAAGTATAATAATTAATTTAATTTAATGAACTAAAAGTATAAAAAATTTGATATATTTTTATTTTTTAAAATTAATTATGGATATTAGTCCTGTGATTTATGTGGTTTTTACAAAATTGGTTCCTTGAGAAAAGACAAAAAATGAAAAAGAGACAAAAATGCCTTCAAGGTTACAAAGAAATTGGATAGTCGTTAGATTGAACGACAAACTCGTTATAAAACAACATATCACAAGATCTCTTCTCCAATAATGAAATTTAGAGATCAATTTCTTAAAAACCATCAAACCATAAGAATCAAATCCGTAATTAACTTTGAAATCAACCTTCAAGGTAGTCCAAGTGATACGATTGTAACATTTTACCTCAAAAATTGTAAACTTTTCATTTGTTGTGATTTTATGGCTTTTTAAAAGATTATTTAAAATTCTAGTTATTTTATGTTTAATATTTTTTTAAACCTTTTTAAGTAATATAATTGTATAGCATGTCTTATATTTAACAAAAATTTCGAACTTTTGTGTGATGTGAATTTACAGCTTTACAAAAATTTACTGTGAAATAGAACAAGAAATCAACAAATGATTAGACTTAAAATCTAAACTATTAAGCTCGAAAAAAAAAAAGATATGTTATCATCAACCTTTAAAGATAGTAACGACATGATCAAATCCGTAATTAACTCTAAATTCAATCTTCAACGTAGTCTAAGTTGATATAATTATAACATTTTACATCAAAAATTTGTAAACTTTTCATTTGATTAGATTTAATAGTTTTTTAAATTAGCAACAGATTAGCGAGGGGACATTTCAGCGACGAAAACTTTCAGCGATTGATTAACAAGAGACCAGAAACTTTTAGCGACGGCTTTCCATTGCTAAGTTTTATTAATTTAAAAATAAATAATTTATAATCACATAATTTCTATATTTATTTATACAAAATTAATCTGGTCATAAAATAACAAATGAAAATTGTAAACAAATTAAAATTAATCAATCTATACAATTTAAAATATCCAATCATACAATTTAATGTTCAAATTCATATAATTTAACTACCGGGGGAGGTGAAAGAGGGGAAAAACATATCCTGACTGCCGCATAAACGCAACAAAATTAATGCTCCGATAAAAGCGACATGTTCAGCTAACTAGACAGCGTGTCTGACCTGTTCGGCCTCTAAATCTGCCCTACTCATCCGTTCGACCTCCATCTCGGCCCGATGAGGTTCCTCCCGCAACTGCACCTCCTCCTCCTCTACCTTTGCCAATTTTTCTCTCAATTCCGCTACCTGTAAATATTGAATATTCGAACAAATCAGTAATTTTTTAGCAGATCAGCGAGGAATCTGCGACTGACAGGCCAAAAATCAGTTCCCTCCCTGATCCGTCGATGATCAGCGAGGGAACTGATAGATCCGTTGCTGATCAGCGAGAGAAATGGAAATCCGTTACTGATACTCTATTTTTTAGTAGTGAAATTAATTGGTTAATACTCGTGAATAGTGCGAGGATGAGATAGGCGTAGTATTTGAAAGAGGATGGATTTAAAATACAATGTATTAATTGTCACATGCATAGTAATTAATTAAGAATGAGGATAAAACCAATATATAGATTAACTTCTGATGTATTTCAATAACCAAAGTATTACAAGAACTTGACAAGCACTATAGATTCTTCGGCTATATGAAAAAACAAAAATGCACAATGATTGCATTCATTGTAGCATAAACACGTACATACATCCATCTGTATACATACGTGAATGAATCAAATCAACCTATTCATTAATTAATTATTGTCAAGAAACAAGCATGAGTAATTCCTCAACATCCCAAACTGATTGGCTTAATTACGACTCATTCCTCCAGGAACCGCAGGTGGTACTACAATGGCTCCACCAGCTGTTTGCTGTATCTCGGGAGACTGATTATGCCACCCAACTCCTGAACAATTAAGATGCTTAACATAATTAGTTCAAACACAATTAAGTTTACCATCGCAGGAGATGAAGATAAATGATGGATGTTACCAAGTTTCATGTTGAAGCCACGGTGTTGAAGCTCCCGATATTCTTGGCACAAGGCGCATGGCTCACAAATTAGATGAACAAGAATATTAATGATGGGGTCGTCAGGCAACCTATATAGATGGCTCATCTTTATTCTAAAGTATGCCGATAGTAGGCAACCGCAGCCCGTGAAGTACATTATCAGAAAATGAAGAGCCGCAAACATACCAACACCTGTTCGTTAATTGTTATCATAAATTAATAACTGTAATCTTGAAAAAGTTGATCGAATCCGTAATGATAGAATGAACACTTACTGGTACGTCCCTGGTCCACCATCTCTGCGACTTGTCCGAAAGTAACACATGGAGCAAAAAATGTTATGATCACTGTTGAAAAGAGGGGAATCCATCAGTAAGTGCGTTTGATGAAGGAATTGCAAAAGAAAATGAATTTTTATATGATAAGAACTAAAGAATCCCTATATATGGTTGGGCTTACAGGTGGTGGGATCATCAAAACATTCAAAGAGGCCAGTGGACCACGCAGGAGGCGGGACTTGCTGTGGTGGAACCCCAACCACCATGACGGCTGGAGGTGCCGGTTGTGCACCATTGGGGGTCGCCTCAGCTGGAGGAGGATTCGAAGGTGGTGCCGGTTGAGGTTGGGGTTGGGATTGGGCACCGGTTGTAGGTTGAGGAGCCTTCTCCATTATTGATTATTGTGGTTTGGGAGTGAGGAATTTATTTTTATTATTTAAAACTCAATTATCCAGATAGAATGGCAATGGATAATTGAGTTTTGCCTGAGAATTGATTTGCTATTAGTGCATTAATCGCATCCATTTATAGGCTTACCATTCTACTCCTTGGATGATTTCATCCATTGCTTTTTTACTGGTAGAGCTTGAATAGATGCGAAAATGGTTGCATATTAATAGGGTTAGATCCAGCAAACTTGCAAGTTATACCCTAAATGGAATTCAATGGCCGAAATTAGCTGATCATATATTATATACGGTCAAATAGCAATTTTGCGAATTATCTTTAAAATCACAAACCCATTGCAAATATGAAATCACAACCCTCACTACAAGAGAAAGAGGTTTTAGAGAAGGAAGTTTTAGAGAATGATTTCAATGTGTATCTAAAGGTGACCTTTAGGGAAGAAATTACATGACAAAAATGAAAATTGTAACAGAAGGTAAAATGATTTTTAGATACGGAATTTGAACCAAATAATACACTATGAAAATCGTCCCTAAATCTTTTAGAGACGCTTTTTATGTAGAACGTATCTAAAAGTTGAATCATAAATTTAGAAACGTTTTAAAAACCGTCTCTAAAAGATAAAATATTTTATTTTTCTTTTTAAATTAAACAAAAAGTTTTTGTTACTATCTTATATTTTTTAAAACCGTATCTAAAAGGGTTTTTATTTTTTAATAAATCAAAATTATACGTTCTTTGATATCGTTGGTTTTCCGAATTAGGGTGCGAGAGTTCTACCAATTTCACTGATTTCCCTTCGATTTCTCTTGGAATTAGGGTGCGAGAGCTCTACAATTTCATGATTTCTCTCCAATATCTATTGATTACGATCTCCGATTTTTTTTCAACCGACTTCGAGTTAAATCTGTGGATTTAGGGCTTGAGGATTCATCCAGTTACGGTCAACTTCGTGTTTGTCTTCATCTCTTCATATCTCTACTCATTTTTCGATTGTGGATACTTCTATGCGTTGTTTCTATCTATTTGTAAAATTAGGTTTATATTTGATCATTTGAGGAGGTGTTTCTA